GAGTGTGAGTGTGAGTGTGTGTGTGAGACAGTGAGTGTGAGACAGTGAGTGTGAGTGTGAGACAGTGTGTGTGTGTGTGTGAGAGTGAGTGTGAGTGTGAGTGTGTGTGTGAGACAGTGAGTGTGAGACAGTGAGTGTGAGTGTGAGACAGTGTGTGTGTGTGTGTGAGAGTGAGTGTGAGTGTGAGTGTGTGTGTGAGACAGTGAGTGTGAGACAGTGAGTGTGAGTGTGAGACAGTGTGTGTGTGTGTGTGAGAGTGAGTGTGAGTGTGAGTGTGTGTGTGAGACAGTGAGTGTGTGTGTGTGTGTGTGTGAATGTGTGTGTGAGACTGAGTGAGAGACAGTGAGTGTGAGTGTGTGTGTGTGTGTGTGAGACAGTGAGTGTGTGCAGGGCTCCTGGACAGCGTCCGCTGCTTTAGATTAGATTAGAGGAGAGAAATGGCCCCTGATACGCAGACGGGCCCCTGCAGGCGCTGTTGGTTTTGTGACGTTCAGGTTCAGAGCAGAATAACACTCCTCTGTTCTTCAGGTTGTCAGCAGAGATCTAAAATAACTCTTCTGGTGATCTGGACACTATATTTTGTAACAATAGCTTTTAGCTAAATATTTCTCTACAGACACACGGTACAAGGTTTGTGCTCGTCATGAATGAGGATCCTGTGAGCTGAATGTGGTCTGCACACACGCTGGTGTGTTAATATCGCAGAATAATGCTGGAGATGCACGGTTTTGGGAACAAATCTAATTGTGTTCTTTCTGATAAAACGTATCTCTGTGATTTAAAATGGGATTTAAAAAAATCTAAAGCTCAAATATGTAGTGGAATTTGGTCAAAAATGTGATCTTTCTTCTTATTCTTATTATTACTAAAATATCTAAAAAATAAGAAATATTCCTATTGTAATATTTGACTGTAAAATAATTGTTTTTGTATTTAATAGTAATGATAATTTTAGTTTAGAATTTAGTTTGCAATTTAACATGGGATTTTAAAAAGCTCCAGGTTTGCAGTGCAATTTGGCCAACAATTTTATGATTAAATATCAATATGAGTATATTTTTTTCTTCTTCTTGTTCTTCCTTCTTATTTTTATTACTAAAATATTTTCCTGTTGTAGTATTTCACTGTAAATTAAAAAAATCAAGAATGTATTATTATTATTGTTGTTGTTGTTGTTTATTGTTATTATTATTTTACCGTTTATTTTACAATTTTTGTAAAATTACTATTCCAAATTACCATTGTGATTTAAAATGCTATATAAAAAAAAACAACAACTGCAGTGCAGTTTGGCCAGAAATTGTGATTTAAATATTAATGACTAATAATAATCAATAGAATAATTATTTTATTATTATTATTATTATTATTATTATTATATTACTATTACTAAACTATCTTGAAATAAGAAATGTTCCTGTCATAATATTTCACTGTAAAATAAAAATTGAGTATTTAATAATAAAAATAATAATAATTTATTTTAGAATTTATTTTAAAATACTTTCACTGTTTAATGGTTTGGGGAAAATATCTTGTCACACAGCACAAAAGAAAGAAAGTCACAGCTTTAAACAACATCAGGGAGAGTAAATGACGACAGAATGATGATTTCTGGGTGAACTGGCCCTTTAATGTCTAACAGGAGCGGATTAATGTGCTTTATATTAAAGGGGTCATATGATGTGATTTCAATTGTTCTTTCTCTTTGGAGTGTTACAAGCTCTTGGTGCATAAAGAAGATCTGTAAAGTTACAAAGACTAAAGTCTCAAATCCAAAGAGATATTCTTTATAAAAGTTAAGAGTCAGCCACGCCTACCTAAAACGGCTCGTTCTAACACGCCCCCACATGTCTACATCACTGTGTGGGAAGATTTGCATAACGCCGCCCAAATGTGCACGCAAAGAAAGAAGGCGTAACTTTTATTCTCGCTGTAGTATTGTTGCTGCTTAAGTTGTATTTTCAACACTGTTCCAGAACACTTCAACCCAAATATTCAGATGTGTGCAGCACATTTTATGGAGGACTGTTTCCTGATCCTGAGAGAGTAGACTACAATGCCGGCTGTTCTGACTCACAGACTGTAAGTACGTTTTCATTTAAAGGATTTGCCACTGACGATTCAAACGTGAGTTTTGAGCAGTGTAGAGTAGCGCTTGTTGTTTGTCATTTCTCCGATCACATATGCAGACATGGTTTTATGTTTACGGGATGCAATGCAACGCTACGTGTAAAAAGACAGTATAAGTCATTATAATCAGTAATTATGTCCCCACAGGATGCAACGAATGCCTGGTTTATAATGGGTTTTCATGTGTTTGTCTCGTCGCTCCGGCCGGACAGAGCAGCACACTATGG